TGAATAGTAATGTTATATTTTGTGCAGCTCAACTCTGTAAATATTTGCTTAGAAACATGTCCCCACTGTGTTTAGGAGGTTCACTGCCTAGTAAAGACTACAGTCTTAAGAACTTAGACCCTAAGTATATTGGACTCTTATTTTAGGATTTTTGGTCTACTTCATAATTTTTCAAAATAAAATGTAAATGTGACCACTACATTTGTAAATATCTTGAATTATCTGCAACAGATATACAGTATACTGTATTCAGTTTGTCATGGGGGGGTCTGCTCTCAACATTTTATGGGGAGAGGCATCCGTTCCCCAACCACTGTAACTGTGGGGGAAGTTTACCTTGAGCACTCCAAACATTGTGTGCTTTCAGGAGAACACATGTGTGCCTTGTCAGGATAATATTAGCAAATTGCATTTATTTTCCAGAGCTGTAAAGCTGCTCTGTTCCCTCTCTTTTTTCTTCACTTACAATTTGGACAAAGCATTATCTTTTCCTTCTCTCTGTCTTCCATGACTATTTAAGTTCATAATTAATTTCAACTACTATGTTGAAATTAAAAAACTGTTGGAAAAAAACCTGATTTTTTTAAAAAACGGTCTCATTGTGAACATGTCTCTAATATGCTTCTCCACAAAGTTATATATCATCCAAAATTCTTTTGTCACAATCAGGAATACTAAGGACAATATCAGGAGGGGCCTTGTGTTAGATGCCCAGAAACAAAATCTTTCAGATTTTTAGATAAGTGTAAGCTGTTAATTTGCTTAATAAACTTCCAAGTAACTATATTAATTGCAGGATTAATGGAAGATAGGTTTGCATTGCTTTCTGTAGTACATGACTTAGTTTTAATTTTTCCTGTCAGTTTCATCATCTTATATTCAGAGCATAACCTAGATATTTCAACAGATCCATAAATTACATCTTTGTGCTATAGAGCTCATTATTATTTCTCATATAGTAAGTCAGCAAATATATCTACATATCTGTAAATCAGTGGACTTCTTTTTTTCCCATCCAATACTCATATAAATATGTATAGCAGTCCTTCTACAATAGTTTCTAGCCGTATCGCAATATTGCCACATAAGAAAGAGATCGCTTTTTTAGTTCTATGTGTTGAGTGTTTTCTGTAAATGTATTTACCCTCTAGGACTGAAGTGCTACCACGGAGCTGGTTATAATAGTTTTCCAAAGATCACCATGAGTTTGGTTTTTTAAGTGCATGTTATGGGAATGATCCATCTCCCTTAATGTTTGCTGAACAAACATGGTCTTTTAGATGTTGTTAGACTGCATATCTCATCATCCCTCATCAGTACTGTATAGGCAGTGGTGGGAGATTATGAATGTTGAAGGCCAACAGCATTTTAATAGCCATGCATTACACATCTCACTGTGTAGTTACAGAGAAAATTTTAGATCTAGATATAGTGATAGTTTCTATCACTGTCTCATTGTCTTAGCTACCTTATCATAAGGTGACAGTCAACTGCATTTTTGTCTTTTTATAATCTTGTTGATCTGTGACTGTAATAAAGAATGATGATGATGATTTTTATTTCTAGGAGCAACCTAGATGAATGGCATCCAGTTTGGTTACAAGCTGATTAGAATTCTGGCCAATTTAGCTTTCATTTTATTTCCTTTAAAGAATCAACAGTTGTGTCACTGTATGGGTTGTGTTTCTTTTTTAGACCTGGAGGAGACCACTGCAGTTGTCTGCAGAGGTTCATGAAGCAAAATAAGGCACACTCGAGTATGTGATAAATTGTGTAGAGTGGCGACATGGAGAGGGGCTTAACAGTGGTTAGGAGAGCTTGGTGAGAGTCAGGTAACCTTACTGTGCAAATACAGGTACTTTCAATTTATCACAGAGCCACTGTTGGATACAACCGGATATTATTGAACTGTTGGATAGCTCAGTGGTTTAGGTCTCTGGTTGCGGAAGTTGGTATCTCGATTCCCCACCGTGCCTTCTCAACTCAATGATCCATAGAATTCCTTCTAGCTCTGTAGTTCTGAGATGATTATTATTACACCAAGACTGCAATCTCTTATTTGCATCCTCTGATAATATGCCAATTTAGCTAACAGGGCAGTGTTCCAGATATTATTAAACCAGTTGTCTGCAGAATGAGGCTCAGCTTTTCTCCACTTCCTTGCTACAGCTGTCTTGACAGTCACAAATTAACTAGAAACATTTGGTATGTGATTTATTAACATATCCTTTTATGTAACCTAACAAAACTACTTTAGGATTTTATGGGATATTGCTACCTAATACAGTGGTGCCCTGCTTGACAATTACCCAGTTAGACGATGAAATTGCTTGATGATGAGTATTTTGCGATTGCTATAGCGATCGCAAAACGATTCTTTGTATGGTTTTTTTTTTTGTTAACGACGATCGGTTCCCTGCTTCTGGAACCAATTTTTCGCTTAACGACAGTTTTAAAACAGCTGATCAGCGGCTCTCAAAATGGATCCCTGCTGTTTTGTTGACCTCATTTAGCAAGACAGGGAGCGGAAAATGGTCACCCTATGGAGGATCTTCGCTGTACGATCAGGTATTTCCCCCATTGGAACACACTGACTGGTTTTCAATGCATTTCAATGGTTTTTTTCCCGCTTGACAACGATTTCGCTTAACATCAATTTTGCTGGAACACATTATCTTCGTCAAGCAGGGCACCACTATATATTGTTAATTAACTCAGCCACAGTTTTCCAAGGGAAACATATTTTTAGACAAGACCAAAATATGTGTAACCTGTCAGCATGTTGTGAATTACACCTCCTGCTGGATGCTGGGCATAGTAGTATATCTGTAGTGGTTTTAGTGTTGATAATAATATGCATGTGTACCTTGATGCAAAACTGTTTAACTTGGTTTTGCATTGTAGGAATTTTGTGGGACAAACAGTAACAAGCAGCAGAAAAAAAATCTGCCTCTGGTATCTCACAAACCTAAATGTTCTAATTGCAATACAATATGTGCATATACAACCATCCTCCATTTGTAACTTTTCCCCAGTAAGACTTGTAATTCTCAGCACATCCACTCCATAAACTTTACTCTAGTAACAGGTTTCCTATGCAGTTCTATCTGTCTTAAAAGAAGTCACTAGCAATATAAAGACTGAGACTCAGACTGGAAGAGTACCTACAAAGGTTATGCAGACCACAGAGATTAGTATTTCAGAAATTAATGATGACATTCATTTCATGTTGTTGAACAATCTGACCCTTTTTATGCTATGTGAAACTTCATCTGCCAAATTTCTGCAATGTGTTTTTAAAAGACTGTTCCATTATGAACAAAAAGTACTTCCTGTTTTAGCATAAAATTGGCAATGGACACCTTGTTTTACCATAAGAATAATTTTTTTAATTCTTCCTAACAAATCTAGTACAGTGCAAACACTATGCTTCTGTATCAAATTGGAAGTGGCTCTAATGAGCACAATTATACTTTACTCAGGTGTATCAGCTGTTCAAAGACAGGCCACAGGTCATTTCCAGGAGGCCTGAAAATATGCCCTATGTCTAAGAATGTCTTTTCACATCATTTTTACAACACAAGAAAATTTTAAGAGAGGTGCAAGTCTTGCTGCTGAATTCGAGACTGCCAGCAGCACTAATGTATTTCTTGAAAGTGCTAGCAAATATTACTCTTTTCCATGTAGCAATTTATAAATCTGGGAGTCATTTTGAGATCTTGCCAGCCTAATGAGGGAGCATGATAAGCATACCACAATTTCACATGTTTAGAAAAGTGATGGGATGTAACTGTTGGTTTACTGCAAAATTAACTTCCTCCAGTAAAAGATATGGAGCCAGTAGTGGTGGTAGTGTTGAAGCTAGACGTCAAATGGTTCCAAGCCAAAAATCAGTCAGGCTCCATCGCAGGGATGGGTTATTTGCAACCTGCGGAATAGTTTCCACTCCTATCACCCCTATCCAGCATAAGCAGTGATGAGGAATGATGGGTACTGGAAGAGCACACTTTCTCCATCCTGGAGAAATATAATCACTCTCTCCTCCACTATTTCTAAAATTGCTAGATATTTGGGGACAGGAGCTGCAGTCATTTCTGCATCGCTGTGCACAGCTTTATCTGGTTATCACATTTGTTGTCTATAAACAAGGTTGCAGTTCAGGTTAAATAAATGTGAGCATCACTTCTTCCTGATGGTGATTTAAGGCCCAGATCCCAATTCTCCTCCTTATTTGTTTTCATTACAGTACTATATTGCTATATTATCACACTAGTTCATGTAGTACACTTTCCCCCTTGGTCTTTTTGCCAGTGGGCCTCAGATCAGGCTGAAAGCTGTCGTGCTTTTTAATTTATTGTACTATAACTATTGACTCTTAGAGTTTAAACTTATGCAATACTGTAACTTGATACCTGGGATCGCTGCCTGTGAAAGAAAGCCTAAGCTAGTCCTTCCAGTACTGTATTAAATACCTTAAAGATATACTAGTATACATTGAAATTAAGAGGCCAGCTTGGCTGAAGGGCAGGCTTTGATGAATATTAGTATACTTTGTTCTGTATGTTTTCCCCCTCTCTTTTCCAAAAAAGATGCTCAGGTACAAAAATTGTGTGTCCTTTTTCCTCTCTGATTTATTCCTTTCCATCAGAAGTTGAATATAGATGATTTCTTTGAAAATTACTGGTGTGACTACTATTGCCTTTTCCTCTGTTGCAGGAGAAAATTTTGATCAGAGCCCCTTAAGAAGAACTTTTAAGTCAAAAGTCTTGGCTCACTATCCCCAGAACATAGAATGGAACCCCTTTGATCAAGATGCAGTCAATATGGTATGTAAAGATGACTCCTCTTCAAAACTAGTTCTTCCTTATGTTTATGTTTCCCTCTCTTAAGATTCTCACCAGATGCATAATATGACTTTTTATTTCTTCTTTGTGGCCTCTGTGAATCCACACACATGAGTTTAGACTGTGCCTGTGCAGGACTCCTCAGAATATTCTAGAGCTTAAAACAATTGATTAATAGTATGTTGCCCCGTGTGACGCATGCTCCGCCTGCCCATTATACCTCGGTTCCTTTTTGCTGCCGCTGCAATCAGACTTCTTGTGCTAGAGCTGTCATGTTTCCAATCTGCCATTTTTTGATTCTGGTCTGGTTTTTCTGATTATCCTCTCTATCTCTGGAAAATTTGACCTCGGATTGTTTACGGATTATGGTTTTGGATTCAGCTTGTACGTTGTCTCCTGGTATTGATCTACAGACTGTCTACCGATTCCCGCTTTTGGATTACGGACTGATTTCAGACTTGACTGTGATTACTTGGCTTTGACTACGGACTGTTTATCGAACTTCTCTTTAAATCAAACCTTCTTGTGACTTTCGATCGTCATTATTCGGCTACTGATCTTCCCACTGAACATTGGACAATTCTTTAAGGGTTCCGTGAGTCCCTTCTCCCTACTCCTCCTGGGTTTTGAATAGTTTTATGGCCTCCTCAGGCCTGTGTACCTTGTGTGCCCGTAAGATTCCATTCACAGATGGCCACGATTGCTGTTTATTTTGCCTAGAGGAGAAGCATCAAACTCACTCCTGTCAGGAGTGCAAGAAGCTTATCAAGCCAGCCCTTAAGTTGTACTTGCAGAGGCTTAGGTCTTACCTTTGGGAAAAGTCGCTTTCCCCATCTAAACCTACAACCATGGAGTCAGCCCCAGCCCCTCTATCTACTTCTCGTCCTGAGCTCGCGATATTGGTACCAGCCACTCCATCGCTGAGATCATCCACCAAATCCGCTAAGCAAAAATCTTTGGTATCAGTAGTGAAGAGGACTTCAACATCAACGTCGAGCTCAGTGTCAAAGCCTCCATCTGTGGAAAGCCAAAAGAAAAAGAAAACTTCAAGCAAGCAAAAGAAAGACAAACATTCATCTAAGACTGCTCAACCCCGGGAGATTCCTCCTGTTTTAGTCTCATTGCCATCGCCTATATTAGAAGAGTCTTCTTGGGATCTACCAGATCCAGACTCTCTTTTGGAAGGTGTCAGCTCCATACTACCTCCATGGGCTCAGGCTTCGGTGTCTATTCCAAGCCCAGGCCATGTTGAGGATGACATTCTTTCCAGCCAGGCCTCTTTCCATTCGAGCCCTATGTCTGTCGGGCGGATGACTGTGATCCGTCTATCGAACTCGGAGGTGTCTCCGCATCAGTTTCCTCCAAGGAAGCGGACAGCCAAATGTTGACACATCTCTCCAGTTTGACAATTCCCTTCACATCGGGAAGTGGTTGTCCTTCCTTGTACTTCTCGACATTGAGTTCGCTCTGATTACGAGGAGCCTATATAGTGGAGATTGATCGCAGGGGCGATCAATGTTGATATTGAGATGATGACTTTGATGTCGATCCTTATTATGAGACCAAAGGGTAGGACAGACATAGAAGAGTTTGATACATCTACACCTCTTCGTCTTCTCCATTGCCATCTCCCCCTCGACGTTGACATCGAGCGTCTTACGAGATCGAACCTCTAGTGTCGAAACCATCTAAAAGCCACGCTCCAAGTCAGGATGTCCCCCAACAGGTGGTTCATGTTTCATAGAGACCTCATGCTTCTTCAACAATGACCCTACCTGTCACTCATCATCAGACAGCGTCATTGCCTGAGCATCAGGTATCTAAGGAGTCTGCCTCAGTACGGTGTCTTCAAGCTCCAACTCAGGTATCGAGACATCACCTATCACCTTCTCCTTCTCTTCAGAGGGGCTCCTCGGTTTCCTCAGCTTCAGATCAGGATCTGCCTTTGGAGGAATCTCCATCTAATCTGCCTACTCCTGACTCAGATGTGGCAGGTCTACATCCTCTTCTCCCCTCTGAAGATTTCACATCATACTCTCAGATGATTTCACGAATGGCTAAATTGCTTGAATTAGATGTCAAACAACCACTACCACCCAAGCAAGATTTAGTATTCGATGACAGTAATCAGGATAAGTCCCCCCCATTAAGTCTTGCCTTTATTCCGGCAATGGTGGACTTAATTAAGGAGTCTTGGAGCCTACCATCTACGTCCATGGAAGGTGTCATGGACGTGAAGGCTCTACCACATGGTCCACTCCGTCCACCTTTGTTACACATTACCGTTTGGACTTCAGGGCCAAGAAGGAAGCAAGTTTTGGTGGTGGTGTGATGGCCCTCCTTCCGGTAAGTGAGCTTGCTACTCACCCATTTGTGTGCATTCACAGAGGCCATGAAGAAGAGAAGTTACTTACCTGTAATCATGGTTCTTCGAGTGGTTCTCTTTGAATCCACACATCCCGCCCAGCCTCCTCACTGTCCGTCACTTGTCTTGAGCTTTGCAAGGGTCAGCGCTTTGACAGCAGCAGACATTTGGAACTGAGGTATAACGGGCAGGCGGAGCATGTATGACATGGGGCAATGTACTATTAATCAATTGTTTTAAGCTCTAGAATATTCTGAGGAGTCCTGCACAGGTGCAGTCTAAATCCATTTGTGTGGATTCGCAGAGGACCACTCGAAGAAGCATGGTTACAGGTAAGTAACCTCTCTATTTGTTCTTACAAATATAATGTTCATCTTCACTCTATGAAGTATTTGTTTGAAAATAATCATCCCCCCCCCCCCAAACAGCTTTTGGTGACTTTTACTAATGGATCACATATTCCCACTGTGGCAGTGATTGCTACTGTGTAAAGTGTCAACTCTTCATTTTGATCCAAGTTTTTTTTAATTGAAAGAAGAAGAGCCCAAATTCTTATACAGTGGTGCCCCGCATAGCGACAATAATCCATGCAGCAAAAATCGCTGCAAAGCAATTTCGTCGCTATGCGGAAATAAAAATCCCATAGGAATGCATTAAAACCCGTTTAATGCGTTCCTATGGGCAGAAAACTCACCTTTAAGTGAAAATCCTCCATACGGCGGCTATGTTCGCTTCCCGGTAAGCGAGGAATCCGGGCAAAAACACAGTGGGTGGCCATTTTATTTACCCGGTGGCCATTTTGAACCACCGATCAGCTGTTGGAAAATCATCGCCATGCAATGATCGGTATGCGAAACGGTACCGATCATCGCAAAGTGATATTTTCCTATCTAAACCATTGCAATGCGATCGCAAAAACGATTGCAAAAATTTCGTCGCTATGCGGATTCGTCGTTAAACGAGGCGCCCGTTAAGCGAGGCACCATTGTATTCATATTTAGATTAGTGCAGCCAAAATAATCACAGTTTCATTCTAGATTGGTGTGCAATCTTCAGCTTGATGTGTGATATTCACTACTGCCTCCTTTGTGCCTCACCTTTCTTCTCCCACTGACCACTGCCTCCTCCAATGATTATGTCTTCTAACTCAAATTGTGTGCTGATAAGTCGGTGCTGACTTATGGCAACTCTTTCCAGTGTCTTCTAGGTAGTGAGTACTTAGAAGTGGTTTACCATTCCCTTTTTCTGAGGGTGCCCTGGGACTGTGCAGCTTGCCCAAGGCCACACATACTGACTCTTCTCTCAGGAGGCACAGTGGGGAATCGAACCCCCAACATCTGGGCTCCACAGCTACTCCCTGAACTAGCCAACCAGCTCTAATTACATCTTAGGCTTCCCTAATTTTGAGGGGCTGCTAGATTCTGAAGCCTTTCCTAGTCCTATTCTGCTTTCTTCAGGCACTGCAACTTGACCTGCTTCTCAGAAAAACTTCTACTTATCCATGATATTACGGCAGGTCAGCCAGCTGCTCTAAGAGGATTTGCACTCTTTGAATCCCATGGTTCACTCCAGTAGAGTTTTATCACAGTATAAGCCATCCCTGACAGTGTAGCTAGGAAGCTGTTGAATCCCTTTTGAGCTATATATGTGTATGTAGTCCTGGAAAAAGGAAGTTCACATCCCCATTAGCAAATATATATTTTTTTGTTTAGTGTAGAATGTTTTAATGTACTCAATAGAATCAGAGGCTGGAAAATTACTGCAGCTACCAGAATCCTGCAGCCAACATGGCCAATGGGGGAATTCTGGAAGTTGTAATCAGCTACCTGTGTGTGATTTCTATATACTGTAGATCGTTATGTATTACTGCTTTGACTGGATTTTTAGTTTTTGTTGTTAGCAGTTTCTTGTAGATAATGATGGCTATTTTCCATTTGCCACTTAAGGCATGGGAATGCCCTAATAAATCACTGTGAAATTCATGGGAAGATGCAGGTACAGTATTCCCACACTAGTATCGCTACTCCTCAGCTGTATTGCCAGCTCACTGACCCCAGGCAGAAGAGTGTGTACATTTCAAGATTCTCTTTTAAGACACAGCAGAGCAGCATAGTGGATTTTAAGAGCAGAGTGTCTAAGCTGTCCCATCACTAAAGAGAGGTAAAACCTTACCCATGAAGAACGGCATGATTATCCCTCATTTGATCCTACAAAAGGCAGAAAAATGTGAACAACAAAATTTTGAACTCCTAGAGTATCATAGCAATCATGTTGATTGTAGGGTTTTGGAAGTTGAAATCCAGACAAGTAACAGTTTTAAACATACAGTGGTACCTCGGTTTATGAATGCCTAGATTAATGCAGTTTTCGATTTATGAACGAAAATCCATTGAAAATAATGCCTCGGTTTACGAACTTTTTCCGCAATATGAAGCAAGTTTGTATTGCGCCTGGGAGGTTTACAGTCTGCCTTGGAGTATCTCCTGTGCAAACACCATTGAAGTAAATGGGAGTTACTGTATATGGATGCTGTATGTAGAATTTTCCAACAATTTGTTAAAAATTAATTTACATTGCCAGTAGTGCATAAAATTATTTTATTGATATCATAAAAACAGCATCATAAGAACATAAGAAAGCTCTGCTGGATCAGGTCAAGGATCCATCTAGTCCAGCTTCCTGAATCTCACAGTGGCCCCACCAGATGCCTCTGGGAACACACAAGACAACTAGATCCCTGTCTCCTGATACCACTCCCCTGCCTCTGGCATTTGGAGCTACCTTCCTTCTAAGCCTAGAAATTCTACATCTCCATCATGGCTTGTAATCTGCTTTGGACTTTTCTTCCGGGAATCTGTCCAATCCCCATCTAGGCCAGATGCCATCACCACATCCTGTGGCAAGGAGTTCCACAGACTAACAACACACTGGGTCAAGAAAGATTTTCTTTTGTCTGTTCTCACTCTCTCAACACTCAATTGGAGTGGAAGTCCCCTGGTTCTGGCATTGCATGAGAGGGAAAAGAGCTTCCCTCTATCCACTTTATCCATCCCCTGCATAATCTTATACAGTACGTCTCAATCATGACCCCCCTCAAGCGTCTTTTTTCTAGACTAAAGAGTCCCAAACACTGTAGCCTTTCCTCATAAGGGGGTGTGTGCCCCAGCCCAGTCATCAATTTAGTCGCTCTCTTCTGCATCTTTTCCAGTTCCACTATGTCTTTTTTGAGGTGCGGTGTCCATAACTGTATGCATTACTCCAGGTATTCATAGATGGCAGCTTTATATTATTCGATCTTCCTTAGCTTCTTAAAACCAGAGAGGGATGGTGCCTGGCAGACCTCTGTAGGAAGGTTGTTCTGGAGGGAAGGGGCCGCATCTGAGAAACCTTGGTTCCTCCTATTGGCTTGGGGGGGGGTGCTGTTTTAGGTGTTACAAGTGGATTGTAGTATGTGAGATTAGATTGTCAACTGATGTGTGTATATTTTGTGCCCCCACTTTCCTCTTCCAACAGTTATGTATGCCCAAAGGGCTATCCTTCAGGACTCAGTCTGACAACAGGGACCCGCAGTTCCACTCATTCATCATTACTCGGGAAGATGGTTCCCGTACTTATGGGTTTGTACTCACTTTTTATGAGGAGGTCACAAGCAAGCAGATCTGCACAGCAATGCAAACTCTTTATCAGATGCATAACGCAGAGCAATGCAACAGCATCTGTGCCTCATCGTCGTGCAGCATGGACTCCCTGGCCAGCAGTCTTGACGAGGGTGATGCCACATCGCTAGCCAAGATGCAGCGCTACAACTCATACGACATCAACAGGGATACGCTCTATGTTTCCAAATGTATTTGCCTCATTGCTCCCCTGCCTTTCATGCAAGCCTGTAAGAAATTCCTCATCCAGCTTTACAAAGCAGTCACATCTCAGCAACCACCACCTTTACCCTTGGAGAGCTACATCCACAACATCCTCTATGAAGTGCCCCTTCCACCCCCAGGAAGGTCTTTAAAATTTTATGGCGTATACGAGCCTATCATTTGCCAGAGACCTGGGCCAAATGAACTCCCTCTGTTTGATTATGCTCTCAGAGAAGTCTTTGAACTGTTGGGCTTGGAGAACCTCATTCAGGTTTTTACATGTGTTCTCCTGGAAATGCAGATCCTTCTTTATTCGCAAGGTAAGCAGACTTATTATTGATTGTTAATCAGGCTGTTCACTGTTTTTTGTCATGAAAAATATGGGCTTCTATGAATTTTAATACCAAGGTAGTGTTGGTTTTACTCCTATGAAAAAAGAAAGAAAGATGTACTAATGTCTCAGGCTGGGTTTAAGTTTACTCTGTCACCTCGTTAATCATGCCAATTAGCTAGTGTGATTTCTGCAGTTGCGCTACCATATATGGAAAAAACAATGAGATTTTAATCAAAATATTTGATATGCATATTTATTGCTAAGGATTTCTAGCAGTTGGTTTGGACTCCTTCCGTCTGGCTTTGATGTTTCTGTAAAACAACTAAAGACCTAACACTGTTTCTGTCTTCAAAATACTGTAGTGCAATTAAAGTTGGTGGTGAGGAGATGTTCAGGAAGAACGTGGAGAGAGAGCTGAATATATAGGCTATATTCAAATCTGCCTGGCAGTCTTCCTACCCAAAACATGTTTGAGATAATTCCTCCTGGTTCATAATAATGGTTTAATTGTGATGAAACATACAAAAACAAAGTCCATAATTTTCATACAGATGTTTAGAGATAAATGCATTTATCTTCACAGGGAGAAAGCTCTGGATTCTGCTGCAGCTTTACTCTTGCAGAAGTTAAAAGATTAAAAGCTTTTAGTGTACTGTATAAGGCAATGCCTGTCTTTCAAAAAAAGTATAGTTTTTAGGAATATAGTAGCTTCTGATCCTTATTAACACTTTTGGCAATAGTTCCTTTAAAAGCTAAGCTCAAGGCATTACCCTCCAATATTTTTTGAATAGGTTTTAAATAACTTCCTCCAGTCTTGTGGTCTGACCTTTTGAAAGCAATTACCTCGACATCTAAACTGGCTTCTATTTTTGAGTTTCTGTGCTGCCCTCTGAACAGCTTATTTACTTTTTTTTTAAAAAATAGCTTAAATATACAGGCTTTCTTTGTGTGAAAATGTCTGTGATGAATTGTGAGAGTGGGAGGGTTCCAGCAATTTCAAAATAATCTTTTTCTGGGATTGTTGAATACAGCTGCTTAAGGATCAGTTGCAAAATGTTACTCAGCACTGATTGGTAGTGGAAAGGGGTGAATTAAGTGGGTTAGCTCTGCAGAAGCCAGAAAATGAGTTTTGGATGTAAGCCTGCAAGCAACAGGAATTGGGGGTTTCTGGCCAAGCAGTTTTAAGCCTCTCAGTTTAAGGGTGTTTCTACATTATTTATTTTTTTTATTTATATACGTACTTACTTATTTACTTAATTTCTATATCACCCTTTAGCAGAGTTTCTAGGGCAGTTTGCAGAAGCAAGGTAATATGTAAATAAAGCATTGCTAAATTGTGAAAACAAGGTGAGACATTAAATAAAATAAAAGCTGGAGACAGCTGCCTTACAGGGTTTGGAAGAGTGCATCCAAGAAAAACAAAATATAATCCTGAGTCTCACTTTTCCCATTCTGTCAGGAACATGCCATGCTAACTGGAGATTCTGGCAAGGGAAGTAAGTTTGCCAACCTTTAAGATCATAGTTAAAAGGATTATCTCTTGGTGGTGTGCATTCAGGATGTTCTTGTGAGTACACTACATATGTTCCCGACTGTTGGTCGGGAAATCTAAGATATAAGGAGCTGGAGGGCAATTCCACTGGTTCAGGTGATAATCTGTGTTGGTCATGGATTTTTCGAAAAGCCAGTTACTGCCACAAGGTTATTTTTAAACTATGCAGTTAGATCTCTCTCTGTGTAAGAGAGAATGAGTTACAGTCGTATCTATTTGCAAGGAAGAAAATTAACTGCCTACATAATTAATGTCCATGTGTCTCAGATGGTTCAGATAATCAGATTGCCTCTTTGGTGTACCCTTGCTAAAAATGTGCATTTTCCTCTCTGTATAAGGAGCTGGAGGGCAGTTCCACTGGTTCAGGTGATAATCTGTGTTGGTCATGGATTTTTCCAAAAGCCAGTTACTGCCACAAGGTTACAGTATTTTTAAACTATGCAGTTAGATCTCTCTCTGTGTAAGAGAGAATGAGTTACAGTTGTATCTATTTGCAAGGAAGAGAATTAACTGCCTACATAATTAATGTCCATGTGTCTCAGATGGTTCAGATAATCGGATTGCCTCTTTGGTGTACCCTTGCTAAAAATGTGCATTTTCCTCTGCCTTTTATCCCCCTTGGTAAAACTTCAAACTGACAGTCACCCCCTCTGCCACCAAATTATTTAATTACAGCATGAATGTTCATCAGCCTGAGGGCTTGGCAACATATTCAAATATCAGTTATGAATAAAAACTGGGATATACTTGAGTGGCAGTAGATTTTAGGGTTTTTTTTTTCCATGCATAGTCAAGAGGAATAACTTAGTAGGGCAGCAACTAACACTTCACCAAAAATGAGGGACACAAGAGGACACTGATTTGCATAAAATTATGTATGTTTGTTTCTAAATATACATGTAAAATTAAATATTAATTTTATAATTTGGTCAGAATTACAATGCATCTTATTCAAGTGGAAAAGACAATGACCAGATGACTTGTGTAACTTCTGGCCAGGTGTTGTTCACTGTGGATGGACAACTTCAATTTCAAATTAGACTTGGACTGGATAGCCTTTCAAATGGTTTCTAAATATACATGTAAAATTAAATATTAATTTTATAATTTGGTCAGAATTACAATGCATCTTATTCAAGTGGGAAAGACAATGACCAGATGATTTGTGTACCTGCAGGCCAGGTGTCGTTCACTGTGGATGAACAACTTCAATATCACTTCTAGTGGTTTTATGATTTTCAAATTAGACACGGACTGGATAGCCTTTCAAATGAAGGATACCATTCAAATGAGAATTATCCTTTGGCAGCCCTTAAAATGGTGGACTGCCCTCCCTGGAAGAGGATGTGTGGCTATTCTTGTTTGTCGATCTGTCTTAAAGTGGTCAGTATCTTCCACTTGAAAGGCTGTCTCGTCCAGGTCTGTTAATACACAGACAACTATGTGAAGTCCAGAGAAACCAGTAGCTGTTCATGCAAGTGAATCATCTCTCAACCTTCAACATTATGTTACTATTTTAAGTTCTACAGAATACACATTTTTGTAATATTAAAAACGTTTAACAGCCTTTTGGAGTGTTGTGCATATCCTCATATTGAGGAATTCACTGAGCAACTGATTTTCCATTTTTAGAAGAGTGTCAGGAGCACCAAAGAAACAGACATTTAGCTAAGCTATTGTACAAATATTTGTTGGCTAAAAGAGTAGAGTACACAGGAACAAAATGCTGACAGGGCATCTGTGAGCTTGAGAGGAGTACTATGGTAGCATGGAAAGACATGGACAAAAGTTTTATTCATATCTTCCGTTTGGGTATTGTAGCTCAACCATGCCCAACCTAGTTGCCTTCAGAAGTGTTAAACTCGAAGTCCCATTGTTTCCAGACATTGGAGCTAATGGACCCATTCACCATGATGCAGAATTTAAAATAAACAGTAGACAAATTATCTGGAGGGAACCAGACTGGATAGGGCGGATATATTTTAAGTCTTATTTTATCTTAAAGTATGTTTGCAAGCTGGCTTGGAAACTGGCACTTGCTAATGCATGATCTAAAAATTCAACCTAATGAGCAATTATGAGCAAAAAGAAGATACAACAGCAGTTCTTCCTTTCAGCTCCTTCCTTTCTCATCCCATCTGTATATGGCTGTTCCTCTGGCAATTTGACAAAGCAATGTACACAATTCTGCTTTGCTGTTCTCTGAACATTTCTGGTGTTTGTCTTAACTTCGTTTTTATATTTTGTATCATAGCTGAATGTGTGGCTATTGTGAATATTTCATAGCTTTCTTACTGCAGCTGATCTAGAGTTAAAATTTTAATCCCTTCCAAACAGGCGGCGAACTCACACTGCACATTAAATCAAGTCGATGAATGACTATGTAAAGCATGTCCTGTGGGTTTAAGAATTGCTCTGCAGTTGCCATCTGTCTGATGTTGGAATGTTCGTGGGGCTTTGAAAGTAATTCTGTTTTGGTCTTCTTTGCTTAGACTATCAGCGCCTGATGACTGTCGCAGAAGGAATCATCACCCTGCTCTTCCCCTTTCAGTGGCAGCACGTGTACGTCCCCATCCTCCCAGCCTCCCTCCTGCATTTTCTTGACGCTCCTGTTCCGTACTTGATGGGTTTGCAATCCAAAGAGGGAACAGACCGTTCCAAACTGGAACTTCCCCAAGAGGTGAATGTTGATCCAGTTCAGCCTTAATGCTATTTACAATGCAGATTTTGGCTCCCCCAAGTTAAAGATATTTTCGGTACAGTAAACATTTAAGCCAGAAAATTGTTGGTAGAATCTGCATGGAAAGATAACAGAGCAAGTTACTGCTTCCTACCTTTGGTAGGGAGGTCTTTTGCACTATTGACTGAATGATGGATTGTGTAACACATTTTGCAGCCATTGTGATGCCACTTGCACAATGGGCATCCTGTCAAAGTTGGGGGGGGCATGTGTGTGATTACAGAAGATCCCTACACTTGTACATTTGAAAAAGTTAGCTCCCATTGTACAGGGATAATCTCCATGTGATCTGGAACCCTGACAAAAGTTAGGTTTTCTACCAGCATGGAGAGAATAGAGGATATTGGCTTCTTAAGAATGTTGCTTTCCAATCCTTTCTTTTCTCACATGTTCAGATTAACTCTGTCTTGAAGAACGCTGCATGAAAGCATCAACCTAGTGCAGGCCTTCAGGTTATGGTGGCGACAGAACAAAATAATGCAGCCTCATGTCCTGCAGTTTGGATGCTCTCTTTCTGTGTGTACGTATGTACGTGTGTGTGTGTACACACACACACACACACACACACACACACACACACACACACACACACACACACACACACACACCCACACACACACACACACACACACACACACAC